GTAGCTGCGAACGCCGTCCGTGTCTAGTGTCTCGATGACGCAGAACGCGGCAACTCCGCTGAGCAGGCACGCGCGCACTGCTCGGCAGAGCGGAGTGATCGGCACAGTACTGACTTCCGGGCTCTGGCAACTCTTGACAACCGAAGAGAAGTGCGCAGTCAACTTTTGGACACTGAACGGCCCCACCTTCTCGATGGTTGCAAAGCGTACACGTCAAGCCGTACTTTGCATCCAGAGTCACAACCGGCACTCTGCACTTCTCACAACGATGCTCCAAGAAATGTTGTCGATGAAACGCCGTCTGCAGGACGGGAAAGACAGCGTCCAAACATCTGCGAAACGCAGGGCCTTCGTGACCAGCGTCGAACGGCCACAACATGGTCTGAGCAGTTGCAGGCCCTTCCTGCCAGAGCATGTCCAGAAGCTCAAAGAGCAGCCAGTGTTGCTGAAATCGAGCGGGATCATGGCCCCTGTCAGCAGTCCCTCCGTGCAAGTCGACCAGCATCTCAACGAATCCGGTGAAGCTGGCCCGTGTTCGCAGCAGAGAAGCGCGCAGAAGCCAAAGCACACGTGTCTCGATAAAGGCCCTCGCATTCTCACGCGGCGTGCGCAAGACATTCGAGCCGACAATGACCTCCTCGCAGGCGCAAGACCAGACGTCACAAGCACGCCTGGATATGAGGACTCCTTGAGGACAGCCTCTGCCGGAAAATGCGACAGGGGTGCAGCGTGCTCGCGTAGGCATGCGCTGGTCCTGCTGCTTGGTGTGGTGCCCTTGACACTACCGCAAGCGAGCCTCATGAGGGTCTGATTGGTAGGCAGGGCTGCTGTAGCTCGACGCCGTGTGGCGCATTCTGGTTCTGCAGCTTCCTGGTCGCGCTGCACAAGCTTGTGAGTGCCCTTGCGTGTGCGTTGAGCCGTGCAGACTCAAGACGCACGTAGGATCTGCAGAGGGTTCATGCGGGTTCTGTCACGCACGTCGCAAGACCTCAACATCCTGGTAAGAATTAACCAGCTGTATACACTGCCAGGATTTTGTGAGCACTGAGTAGCGTCAGAAACATTGCGGCTGAGCGCCCTGCGCTTCTGGGAGGGGCGCCATTGGCGTCTGAAGGTTTCTTGCCGGAGTGCACGCTCATCACCCGGCAAGGCCTACTGCTTCTTCCTGAACATGGGATGGCGGCACGCGCGCTACAGGATGTCCTCCTGCCCATGCTGCCTAGGTGAATTTTCGAGTTGCTGGCGGAACCGGGCGGGAGCTCGTGGTCAGTGCTTTTCAACAGTGGCGCCCGCTGAATGTAGCTTCACGCAGATAGTCGGAGCCCTTCATGGCGGCTCCCACGCGGAGTGCCCCCGCAATGTTTCTGACGCTACTCAGTGCTCACAAAACCCTGGCAGTGTATACAGCTGGTTAATTCTTACCAGGATGTTGAGGTCTTGCAAAACGTGTGTGACAGAAGCCGCATGAACCCTCTGATCCTACGTGCGTCTTGAGTCTGCACGGTACGTGCCGGACGGCTTTGCGCACGTCCCCTGCCTCCAAAGGGCACTACACTATATGTACATGTACGCCGGAAACTCACATGTCCCAGGCCGTGAAGGAATGTTGCATGACTGCAAACCAAACACCAGCGAGGAAGCCAGCGTAAATCAGTCTGCACCGGACTGGCAGCCGGAGGCACTGCAGCCAAAGGAAGTAGTGCTCGCACCACAGCTGACATCCCGCAGGCGCCACAGAGCACAATCGTTCCAGGAAGCCTTGCAGTTGCAGAAGGAAGTCCTCGACTCGGAAAGCAAAGTGGAAGACTGCATCCCGTGCAAATCCAGGTGGAAGTTGGTTCGCCCGAGAATCAGATCGCAGCAGAGCTTGCAGGCGAATCAAGCTACATGTTCTTCCCTCCCCAAGCATCATTCCGCGCAAGAAGGCTTCCAGCAGCACCCCGAACGGCAGGACGCGCCGCGCGGGCGCAACGGGCGCAGCGTCAAAGTCCAGCGTTGAGGCATCGCTCAGGACACTCGTGTCGTCTGCACTGGCCCAATCCTGACCTGGCTCCAATCCCTGCCACTGCATCAATGCGAGATCAAGGAACTCAGGCCCAATGAAGGCAGGACTGCGAATGCTTTGAAACGGCTGCATCGAGGAAGCGGTCATGAAGCATCCAAGCAAGGCGTCACAGGCACCAACCTATAGCAAAAACCTGGTACAGATGCGCAACAGCACACGAAGGCAACCGAACTTGACGCGCACCTGTCCTCTGGGCGTTGGGTCCCTCCTGCACAAGCCTGAAGTGCCCAGCACGTGTGGCCGGGCTGCAACTTCAGACTGAACCCCACTAGACCCTGCACTGGCACACGGATTGCTGAATTGTATGGCAAAGACTTTTTCCTGGCAAGGCGTCTGCTTGCAAGGGTTGCGAACCGGGCCTACTCCTGCTCAGGCTGCATGTCAGAGTCTGACGCAGGACTTGCAACTGCAGTCGCCGCCTCCACGGGATCTCGGAGGCTAGACGAGGCATTCCTCGCAGCTGAAGATCGAGGGCATCTCAATCTAGGGCGCAGCCTGCGCAGGACCTTGCTGCGCAAACGCTGCCAGGGCCTGGCGCGTGGCCTGACTCGCCGTGAGTCAGGGTCTGGCCACACGATGGCCGCTTGGGAGGCCTTGCGAGCAGCAACATAGCCGCCTGAGTCTGTGTGCGATACGGCGCTGCAGCATCCAGGATCGATCGCATGGCCTGCACCACCTGTGGGTGCGCGAGGAGCTCCTCCGGCAGCTTCGTGAAGTACAATGTTTTGCTGCCAGCCATGTTGGCACTGAGGCTGGTAACCCCCAATCCCAGCAGATGGAGAATGCGAAAAGAGCGCAGGACCAGGGGCTGAATCTTGTCTGCTGGCAGATTCAGGCTTCGCACAGCCTTAAGCCCTGTCACGTCAGACGGACGCACGCACGGCAGCTTCTGCGACTCGCAGATGGCCCGGCAGACTTGAAGAAGAGCCGACTTGTCCTCAACGCCTGTGAGCAGCACTGCGGGGTCGCTTATTGCTTGCAACGTTGCAGGCGTCGCAGTCTCGACAGCCTGCCCTCTTGCCGCGCCGCCTCCGCCTCCTGCGGCACCAGCGCCGGTACTTGCCGGGCGGAGGATGTCCAGCTTGGCGAAGGTGTCGTCCAGGAAGGTACTGAGCAGCACGCTCGCCCTGGCTGCATTCTCGGACACGACAAAGCTCCAGGCCTCGGCTTGCACCTCAGCAGCCTTCTGCAGCAGATTGCGCAGGGGCAACGCCGCTGCTGGTGGCAGAAAAAACACTGCCGTTGCATTCCATGCCATGGACTTTTGTGCTGCAATCTGGCGCAACGCAGACCTCTGGTCTCATGGCCACGTACAGCCGGGTGCTGCGGCAGATCGAGCTTTGGGAGGACAAGCATCTCAAGGACACAAGTCTGGCTGTGCACCGCGCAGCTGTGCGTGAAGCTCAGCAGCAAGCCGACGGAAACGAGAACCCAGGAGAACGCCCCGACATCAAGCGGCCTCGATACACACCTCCAGGCGAGTTCCACATAGGTTTCTCCTCAGGCTCAATCGACGGGGTGATCGGCCGCATGTCAGAAGCGCAGAATCTGTCCCGTGCGGCTGCCTTCATGGCCGAGGGCGGCGTGTTTATGCAGTGGCTCGCCGAACAATCCGGCGGCCACCAGGGGTTGATTACGCAGCTCACGGACCGCATCGTCTGGGACAAGGTCACAGTGAAGGACGCTGGCAGTGATGGTTGTTTGTTGCTGTTTTTTACTGTCGCTGTGCGCTTGCTGAAGTTGTTGGCGTACGAGTCTGCGCCCAGGATCGCACCACGGTTCTTGTTGATGCTCCCTACATTGGAGTCTGCGGGGCCGTGCATACGCAGGAGCTCTTCAGGGCCATTGGAGAACGTCCCCGCTTCGTGCGGTCCGAGGAGTTGCGTGAGGCCTGTTTGCGCATCCCGGGGCCGCCCCTTCATGGTTGGCTGGCCAACCATATCTGGGCCCTGCACTGCGTGCACACACCTTCGCACGCGCTGGCGCCCTTCGTGGAGGACCTGAATTACCGGTGGCTTCACTACCGGTTTTCCACGAGGTCGGGGCCAAGAAAGCTGCAGTTGAAATCTCCGCCATGAGGACCCAGGACACAGGGACGGACAGAGCGTTCGCCACGATCTCGCAATGGTCAAACGCAAGGCCAAGAAGCTCCTTGAGTTCTTCGTAAGGAAACACCACCATCTTCTGCAAATGCCGCCAGGATCTGGTCCTCCCGCAACTCCTGCGTCTGAACACGTGGCATGGCAGGCGGCGAAGCTGCAGCAAACGGCAGACAAACACCAGTGGAGAAACTGCTTGAGCACTCAACGCACATGCAAGGGCAGTCACAAGCTTGCGCAGCGCGACCAGGAACCAATCAGACCCTCATGAGGCTTGCTTGCGGTAGTGTCAAGGGCACCACACCAAGCAGCAGGACCAGCACACGCTGCCTACGCGAGCACGCTGCACCCCTGTCGCATTTTCCGGCAGCTGTCCTCAAATCTTGAAACAGGCACACTTGCGGAAGTGCGTCCCGCTCAGCTTGGCCGGCCGCCAAATTCAAAGTCAGAGGCAGCCGAGCCGCAGGAGTAGCCGCCCTCCCGGTTCTCCAGGGAGCGAACCTCATCAGCTAGAGCGGCCACGTGGCCGTGAATTGCGGTCACCGCGACCCTCTCCAAACGAACCTGGCCAGCCAGAAGGTACAGCAGTCCGACGCGCTTCCACCCCCCCCCTACCTGCCTCAGCACGGAGAAGCAGCAGCTGTCGAGGAGAAGAATCAACGATGGCGGGCGCAGCGAAGGCGTTGAAAGCCTGCGCGGGCACAGCCGGCCAACGATACGCCGGTGTGGGCACGCGCGACGGCGCGACCAGGAAGTCGGCCTCGAAGCAAGCAGGAGGCGAGCAGCGGTCGCAAGCAACCCTTGCAAACATGCGCAGCCAGGACGGTACCAAGGAACTATCACTTGCGCCACTTGGCCATGGTCGGCTTGCCGGAAAAGGCGCAGGGAGGTGAGTGTTCGGAGCACGAAGACAGCTCTGCGTACTCGTGCAAGGGCGATGTAGAGATGGCCACCGTCCTCCAACAGCTGAAGTCGCACGTTCCGCAAGTGCTGCAGGGCAGCTTGTCCTGTCAGCAAGACTTGGACACGGGCTGATCTAAGGCGGAAGAAGGCCCCTCAGCAACACGCAGAACCCCAAGCAACATGCTCCCAGCGGCATGCCTCTTGTCCAATGCACACGGCGTTCCAGCGCAGAGAGCACGTCCATGTCGAACATATTTATGTCCTGCAAGGAGGTAGCAGCTACCTAGAAACTTCTGCTTGCAAGCAGCACCAGCTCCCGCCTGGAGAAACCAAGAAGGGGCACGGACAGGTACTCACGTAAGCAGAGCCAGGCAAGACCAAAAGCTGCGGCGCATGCGACAGCCCAAGAGTGCAGAGCAGTCAAATCCAACGCGCTGGAGCAACCAGCAGCGCGCGTCGCACACATTACTTGCGGTTTTAGCCCGCAGAGAAGCCTATGTGGAACTCGCCTGGAGGTGTGCATCGAGGCTGCCAGCCCTGCCTACCAATCAGACCCTCAGCTGCATGAGGCTTGCTTGCTGCAGCACCACGCGCAAGATGTCTGCGAGGACTCCCCGCCACCTTTTTGTTCGATTTTCTCGCAGACTGAGTTATCCGTCTATAGTACAAGACCATGTATACATGGCTGGCAAAAGTACAAGAACAACAGGAGGCGAAGTCTGCACATCGAAGACAAAATTTCACAGGCACCAGTCAGAGCCATTTGCTGCGCAGCATAGGGGGAGCAGCTCGTCCGCAGATGTTGCGCACAGTCGCCTTGCAGCTCAGTAGCAACCATTCTTCCCGCAGTGAACACGCACCAGTCGATGGGCCGGCGCACGTGTGCAGACAGCGCGCAGAGGCATCCTGGAGGAGCAAGCCAGCCCATAACTCAGCAGCTTGCGCCGCTTCCCATCCCGAAGATTGATCAGGAAGCGTGGAGTGGTACTCGAAGACGCGCCCAGCGGACAGGGCGCGGACGGCGGCACAGCATCTGCCGGGGTGGCTGAACTCGCGACCGCGGGATCTTGCGAGGCCGTATCTGGACCAGGCGACGAGGCGTCGCCCTCTTCGCGCTGGCGCGCCGCACTGCGCGGAAGCCATCGCCTCCCAAAGACCCGCTTCTTATTTTCCTACGAAAACCT